AATATTCATTTGTGAAGACATATCTAATGGTCATATAAGTGGAACTGATTATATCAAATATGGTGGGATGATTTTCCAACCTCTCGAAGGCATTTATTCAGTGTCATTGAAGTCAAAACCATGCATATGATTGCCCACTTTATGTTTTTCCTACTCTGTGGGCCAGAGGACGCTGTCTATTATGATCATCGGCCAAAACAACTTTAGAACACGTTTGAATCTACAAAATAGTATACCATCACTTACAATACTCGATCAAACTAAAAATACAAGTTGATGTCGTAATGAAAATGAATCTTACCGGACACAACTGACAGAGACAAATAAGAAATCAAGTGACTGCAATCCTTTTTTTAATGTGCTAACTATTACCGAATTCGATCCTTCCGGATTGTAACAACACATATTGCGGTCGAATAAACTTTCTTCTTGAATTCTGTTGAATGTATTCATTTTATAACAATAACTGTTTGAGATAAGTTTGTCATGACTAGCATAAAATAGAAAAAAAAATTCAAAATACTAAATCCCATAACACTTTAAAGTCTCAACTCATCGCATAACATGATATTTTAAAATTCAATTGCTTTAATCTGAAAATCATATTTAAAACAACACAGTCCTTTCGACAAATACCAAAAAATTGGGTTATTACTAATATTTGTTCATTTTTTTGGTTATCCTTTTTTTTTAAGGTGTTTATACTTTATAGTTGCATAAGACTATTGGAATTAGGGGTCCTCCACTACATGTATGATCCTACTTGGTATTTCCTTAGCATGTTAAAGCTTATCTTTGTAATGTTATATTAAAAGATGTTGAGAAGGCAACGTAGCTCAACGCCTATCATACATCATACATACTTATAAAGCTAACATTTTTCTTTGAATCTCATGCATTTGAAACCCCCATAAAAATTTGCAAACACCTCATGCATTTGAAACCTCATATTTTAATGAATACCACTCAAAAGTCTCTTAATAATGATTAACAATTCAAAGATTTTATAACTTATATAATATATTTAATAAACAATTAATGGATACAAATACAAATCACATACAAAATTCACAAAGAAAATAAGTTTAAAGGTTTTTGTGTTGGTTTGAGGGCTTTGAACAATTTTTCGAGCCATGTTATTATGTTAAAGTTTTTAATTTGTAAGTTTGTTATATACTAATTCTTTTTTGTATTTTCTTGATTTAAGTATTCTTTTAAGAATATCATTGTATGTTGTGGTTGAAATTTTAATTTAAATTAGATTAGATTCATGTTATCGATCATATGTTATGGAAGATGATATATATAATATTTAATAACTATTTGTATACATGTTTGTATGTTCATGTTGCTTCAAAACAATAATTAATTAAAAATCATGGATATGTCATATTATCCATATTATCTATGTAAGCCTTTTTTAAAATGCAAATTGTATATCTTATCACTTTATGCTTTAGTATATGTTTAACATTTTAATTATAATAATAAGTGTTTTTTAAAAGTTTCTTTCACTTATTAATAAAACAGTGGTTTTTAAAATTAATAAGCAATAATTATAAATAATAAAATCAAATTACATGGATATGTCATATTATCCATGCAAGTTTCTTTTGAAATGCAAAATGTCTATCTTATCACTTTATTATTTAGTGTATGTTTCACATTTTAATATATATATTAAGTGTTTCTCAAAAAGTCTTCTTTAACTTATTATTAATAATAAGTGGTTTAACAACTAATGAATAACAATTTTAAATGATAATAACATCCAATTAAAATTACATTTAGCTATAAATAAATTGTATTTTAAATGAACATCATTATTAAAATTAGAAAATGAGCGCATAAGTAAAAATATAATTATTCAATAATAATAATGTTAAAAATTATACTAAATAGATAATTATATTTTTAATTCTATTAATAAGTAATGTGCATTGATGTCAATGAATATTATTGTTCAATACTATAGCGATTATATCTATATATATATATATTATATATATATATATATATATATATATATATATATATTAGTGTAAAAATATTATCTCAAAGTTAATGTCATAACAAACCATTTTAAACATATATTTTTCAATATTTTAACAATATATTTTTAATCTTCGTTGCGTAACGCGCGAGAATTCGTCTAGTACATACTTATAAAGCTAGCATTTTTTTCTTGAATCTCATGCATTTGAAACCCCATTTTTTAACTTCCTCAAACCACATTCATTTGAAACCCCGTTTTTTAACTAATGAAACTCAAAAGTTTTCTTAATTATGATTTAACACTCAAAAGTTTTATAACTTATATTATGTTTAATTAGCATTTAGTGAAAGTTTACTATAAAAAGGCCAACTTTGTGTCTTTTGTGTTATATAAAATCTTACATGTAAGAATGATTTGAAGATATGTGATTCAAAGTTTTCATATAGTTGAAGCATTCACGATCCAAATATGATGATTTGAAGAATGGGTATGTCGCATCGATGGTAATTGTAATATGATTTTTTCTTTCAACCAAAACAAATGAAACTTTTCTATTCTTTCTTTATATTCAGTTTATCATTTAATCTTTATATGTGTTTTGTTTGTATTATTCAATCTTGAATGTGACTCTCCAAACATCAATGTTTTGTTTGGAATATCTTTCTGATTCTTCTTTTTCAAGAAAAATATTTTGATTGCAGGTTAGTGAAGAATTGTCATCAAGTTTCTATGGTTGAATGATGTTAAATGAAGAAAGAAGATTAATAAAATGAATATATGTTTTTTTGTTTGAGCATAGTTGAGAATGTTAGTTTTTTTCTTTTGATTTAAATGTATGTTTATGTAACATATTTATTTATATATTCAAACCACCCAATGCTCTTATTTATTTGATTGTAGTTTTCTATTTTGATTCTGTTATTTTTCTATTATTTTTTTGTTGGGTTATCCTACACAACATATTTAAAGACCAATTTAAAAGATAACATAATTTTGAACATTTGATTATGTATTATGATAGACTTATCATGATATGTTCTTCATATGAAAGTAATTATCCATATTACTATGACAATAATCACATATGACATTTACGAAAAATATATATATTATATGTGATTTGTTTAACATGTATATGCACCTATGTATGTTATAAATTTATAATTAAATATCTTTATGTTTAATAATTGAAGGAATTAAAATGATGCCTCAAAACCAATTAATTAGACGAATATAATAATAATAATAATAATAATAATAATAATAATAATAATAATAATACTAACATATCATTTCCAAGTACCGCTTCATTTGAAACTCACACTACAATCAAGTGTTTTCTAATTTATGTATATTTATTCGTTACAACTCAAGAGTTTTTAACTTATGATTATTAATTAGTAACCGTTAATAACTTTTTATTTTCCTTTCTTTTATAAGGTTGTAAAGTTTTGCTCATTAAAAACATTAATGTATTTGAAGAGATTTGTGATTTACATATGAAGAGTTAATATAAATGTTATCATAGATGTTTAGGGTTTTTATGTTATTAAAAGTTATAGTGTTTATTTTTCATAATGTTTATTATTCGTTGTATATATATCTTTTTTAATACAAATGTTATAATAAATGTTTTTCTATTTTTATGTTACTAAAAGTTGTAGTTCATATTTTTGTTCATACGTTTTGTTACCCGTTATATTATTATTCATTTGATATATAATTTACACAATTTTAAACGGTTTATAAAATTATCAAATAATTGTATATATCACAGTGACTTAAAAATTAAACTATAATGTTTAATACAACTAATATGTTAACTATATGTTTGCTTTACTACTAACATTTTGTTTCAAAGTAGAAATATTAAATAATAATTTGTAAAAGTTATTATTTTAACTATATAATTCTATTCTCGCGCAACGCACAGGGATTCGCCTAGTATAGAAATAATATGAGGCAATTGAACAATCATGTTTCTTCATTTAATTTCATTAGTTTTTTTTAGCCATCTAATTTAAAAGAATTACAATAAAATAGTATGATGGTGTGATGACCATTTCTTATAACAATGTTATAACTTTGACAAATATATGAAATACGAACAAAAAATAAAATAAAAAAATGGTGTTATAAATCCATACCCACCGCAAAATTACAACCACATACTCATTCTCCGTGCAATATGTCATATGTGTAGACGTGACAATGAGAAGAGTTTGGAACTAATCGACCTTGATCTAAATCATTTTAATAAATTTCAAAATCTGATCCAAACCATCTCCGTAACCCGCAAGATTTTGAATAATCAAACCCATACTCTTATCCACCTAATCAACAGATATCCAAACCCGCTCCGTCACCTGTGGGTTTTTAAATAATCAAACACATTTGACTTAATTCTTAAAATAACATTTCTTAAATAAAACAAATTTTGATTTAGAAAACGCATTACGTACTCGAGGACTTTCGATTGGAATTAAAATCACTATTGTAATAACTTCCAATTGATTTTTGAATGTCGATTGTAATGATAGAGAATAACAATAGCAAAATTTATTCCAGTTGATAAATGACTTTATTGATATATAAATAAAATTCGTGATTGATTGATGAAATATAAATAAAATGATATCATGATTCTTGGTAGAAGACTGGAAGTTTAAAAGTCGACTTCTCGAGTTTTATGTAAAAAAAGTTTGGTCTTTGGCCTTTGCCCTTTGGACTTTCAATTGGTATTAAAATTAAACTTTAGGAAGTATAAAATATAAACGTATAATTCTAACGAGCGGGTTATAAAATGAACGGATCAGTAACGATCAATACTCAACCCATTTAATAAAAAAGTTAGCTGGTACGGATTATTAACGAGTAAATGATTCAAAAACTATGTTTCAAACCCATATAATTCTTAAGGTGTGGATCGGATCTGGTCAAAACCTTTACGAGGCCTGAGTGTGTGTGGGGATATGAGTTTGTGATTTGTCTCGGCGGGTTCGCGATGGTTAAAGGTTACTTCAAACCAAATTCCACCATCTGTTTCAAAAAACGGTTGATGAACCAAGTTAGAGCCCTAAATCAAACCACCCAAAATTACCGAAAATTTAACCAATTTCAAAGCATCAATATATCTTTCTGTTCTAATGCTTTCAAGGTCTTAGCTGCAAAGGGTCTTCCACTCCAAGGGAAACGATTACATTCACCAATGATTAAGCTAGGTTACTGTAGCACGTTGTTATTACAAAACCAACTGCTAAGTTCTTATTTGAAATGCAGCGAGTCCAGTGACGCCTGTAAACTGTTTGATGAAATGCCTGTTAGAAATCTCATGACTTGGAATACTTTAATTCGCGATTCACATGTCGGTTTGTGTTATTTTAGAAGGATGTTATCGGAAGGGGTCAACCCTGATCGTATTACTTTTTTACATTTAATTAGCTTGTCGAGTCAAGTCGGGAGCATTGAGATGGGTAGACAGTTCCATTGTCGTACAGTGAAATCGGGTTTCTGTAAAGATTGTCATGTGAATAGTTCTCTTGTTAATTTGTATGCCAAATTTGGATTTGTTAGCGAGGCGAGGCTGGTTTTTGATGATGCGGTGGATAAAGATTTGGTGTTGTGGAATGTAATGGTGTCTTGCTATGCGTTAAATGGATCAAGGGAAGAAGGTTTTCGGGTCTTTACAATGATGCGTTTAGAGGGGGTTAAGGGTGATGATTTCACGTACACTAGTCTGGTGAATTGTTGTGCTTCTCTAGCGTATTGTGATTTAGGAAAACAGATCCATGGTCTTGTCTTTAGATATGGGTTGGATGGGGACATGGTGTTGGCTAGTGCGCTTACTGATATGTATGCAAAGAATAAAAACATCATTGATGCACGTCACGTGTTTGATGAAATGTCTCTAAGAAATCTGATCTCTTGGAACACTATGATTGTGGGTTACGGACATGACAACAATGGTAAGGAAGCTTGGAAACTCTTCACAAGTATGCTACGTGACGATTTTAACCCTGATGAACTGACTTTAGCCAGTGTCATTAGCTCATGCTGGAATCTCTCTTTAACCACTGAAATCCATCAGCTTCATTCCTACTCGTTAAAAATCGGGATTCTTTCCTTTTTATCGGTTTCCAACTCTCTTATAAATGCTTATTCAAAATCCGGGAATATTGCTTCTAGTTTCAAATTATTTAGCTCAATAGCCAAACCTGATCTTGTGTCATACACTTGTATGATTCAATCATACGCCTTTCATGGTCTTTCAAGAAACGCGATCAAACTTTTCAAGAAAATGGTGTCACTTGGTGTACCAAAACCCGATAAAATCACGTTTCTTGGTGTTCTTTCTGCATTTAGTCATGGTGGATTAGTAACCGAAGGCCTCCATTACTTTGAATCCATGACTAAAGACCATGGGATTGAGCCAGGGCTCGAGCACTACACGTGCCTAGTTGACCTTCTTGGTCGAGCCGGTTTAGTCACCGAGGCTTTTAATGTTCTGGGTTCGATGCCAATGGCTCCTGGACCCGACACACTAGCGGCTTTTATTGGACATTGTAGGGTCCATAAAGATCTTGAGTTGGCTAAATGGGCAAGTGAAAAGCTTTTGGTTTTGGAGCCAGATAAGAATGTGGGGTATGCTGTTTTGTCGAATATTTTTGCTTATTGTGGGAGGTGGTTTGATGTGGGTGAGATTAGGAAAAAGATGCGGGATAATTGTTGTTTGAAGGTGCCGGGGTTTAGTTGGTTGGAGGTTGGTGGTGAGATTCATGGTTTTGTATCGAAAGATGAAGCTCATCCACGATGCTTTGAGTTGTACCGTGTGTTGGGATTGTTGTACAGTTCGATGCCCATGGCTTTGATTAAAAAGAATTACTAAAATTGAAAATTTACATTAAAAACCCCTTCACGTTTACATAAATGACAAAACCACCCACAACCTAAATACTCTATATTCATTTATCTATACCTTTCTCATTTACATTTTCTCATCCCAACTCCCGTTAAATATCATTTGTTCTGTTGATATATCGTCCACTGTTTACCAAAATCACAGGAATGATATAATGATTATAATCCGCTTGAAATACCACTCAATGCACATAGCACAATGGGCGGATCCAATGTAGAGCCTGGGGTAGCCCGGGATACCCCTCAAAAAAATTTTGATAGTATAACTTTTTTAGCAAAATTTCGTTTTATATAGTATATATATATATATACGTTTCCCTTCACTTATAAACACAAACAATCATGTGGTTTGTTGGATAAGGCACTAATATATTGAAGTAGAGATCTCATGGTCAAATCTCCGTCCTTACATTTTCTTTGTTTACCTTTTATTTTTATTTTCCCAGCTATTCTATCCCATATCGTTAAACACATATAAATTCAGCCAATTTCATCTATTATATTAACCTCTTTTCTTCATGCTTCATTTGATATTAACTTTGATTCTCACATCGCTTTAAGTATCAAAAGATACTTCAACTTCATGTTTATATAACAAGACTTGAGGTTAGCTAAAAATTCGATTATGGTTTGGGTTTAAAACCGAAACCGAACCAGGGAAACCCAAGTACCCCGGAAAAAAAATTGGGCCACCCGAAAAAATTTGGGATACCCTTTTACTTTGACCCTGACTCTGCCACTGCAGAGCACCCGCAGTTCTAAGCATCATGATACATAAACAAAACGAAACTGAAGAGAATTTGAGTTATAAAAGTATTTTGTTTGATTCCAAAGGGTCAAACACATACTCCGTCCGTCCCATGAAAAGTTGTAAATAGTCAAACACTTGATTTGGTCCAAATGGTCTTATGGTCCATTTTCTTTGTTTCGTCTTTATAAAGGGCATTTCAGGTATTTAACAAACGTAGCATTTGATGCAATAAGCGAAAATAACCGATTGCAACATATGGCCTACAAGAAAATTCACCGGAAATCATAAATCCAAAGTTCCACAATTGCCCGTAAAGATAAACATGTGTAATGTGTGCGATGTAAACTGAGACCCCTCCTTCAAGAAAGCAAAAACAAAGCATCTAAAAATTGTTTATTTTGTGTTCCAATAATGTATGTTTTGGTTGTTTTACGTTTTTCATTTTCCGGGTCCCATTTAAGAAAAAACACAGATATATTTTTCATTTTTAATTTGAATATATAAATTACCTCGATGGGATACAAGTTCCATGCTACAATCAAAGCCTCCATGGATGCGATCACATAAACAGTAGCTGAAATAGATTCTAATAATAAATCAGATAGCAGTCAAAGAAAACAAACAAACGAGAATAATATCTTTGCATGGAATAGCAATGTACTTTCATGTATCTGTTTATAATAGCATCCTACTTTCATTTCTTTCTATTACAACATTGTACTTTCAATTTGTTTTTTTTAATCAAGGCAACATATTTTGAAAATTTTAACACTGACTTCCATTTTTTTCTTATTAGGACATTATACTTTGACAAATCTATCTGACTTTAGCAGTGAAAATTTCTTTGCATGCGGATGAAACTTTTATAATTGGGTAGATCTTTCAAAGTACAATGCTTCCATGGGAAGAAATGAAAGTACATTGTTATTTCTTGGGCATCTTCGACCAAAATAGCCATAATAAATTGACTTTGACTTTGACTAGAAGAAGTCAAATGCTTTATACCAAAAGTCCAAGTTCCTCCTCTAGCATGGATGATATAAAAACTAATACTTTTTTCATGCAAATGATACAACTTAAAGAACATAGAATTATGCAGAATTTAACCATTTAATGTTATTAATATACCGGTATTTACCTAAGCCTATAAAAATACATAGCATTATGCAAAATTTAACCATTTAATGTTATTAACATACCGGTTTTTACCATTTTCTGTAGTGGTAAAAAATTTAAGTTTGTTACATTTTATGGATAAAAAAGTAATGTTGCATGGATTAGTAAAATGGTGAAAGTAACTTTGATAATATAAAACAAAAGCAAACCTGCTTGTCGGCTAGTCGTAAAAGAATATTTTTCTGCATAGGATAACATTTTTCGGCAAATTGGAGACCTAGTAGCCGAAGATTTTATTTGTGCAAAATGTTGGTGATTTTAATGTCACCATGTCATTTTAAGTAACTGGAACTAACTTGTGAGCTAAGGGGCTTCATAATTTGTACTCTATTATATGTACGGGGTTGTGTGGAGTGCACGCATGTATAAGATCGAATTAGAAGTCGGTTCGACGACCAGTCGGGGGTCCGGGGGCAGCGCCCCTAGCGGGGTGATTATGGTAAAATCCTTATTAAATTCGTTAGTTTTATGGTAAAACTAACGAAACTCGTTAGTTTTTGGTAACCTTAAATCCTTATTAAATCCGGATTAACATTACTTGCTTCCAAAGCAACTAATGACGGCCCAACCCTAATGAAACTCTAATCGTGTTTAATATATAAACAGTTCTTCCTCAACAGAAGAGCGTTACGATCTTAAGCTCCCGTTTCATCATACTTTCACAGAATCCTCTAGCATATTGGCTTACGTCTTGTGTGCCTAGAAACGTAAGTGTCCACTTGGATTATCCTAGGCTGAATTTCTTGTAACCCAAACATAGGGTAGAAATATCAGTTCGGAAAGTGATATCACGATCCAAGTTGGTATCCAGATCTCCACCACAAACCCTAGATTTCCCAACACAAAATGTTTGACAAAAGTGGTTTAGCTTTTAAAGTTGTAAAAATACATAAAAGCCAAAAACTAAAAGCTCATAAAATATATTTGAAGTAGTTTTTGAATAGTTTTTTGTTTAAAATAAAAAACTAAAACTCCTACTACCCTTTTTTTCTTCTGTTATTTTATTTTTATTTCATTTTTAGTTTTCTGTTAAAATCTAAAAGATCTGAACAGCTACTTAAGGACAAGAACAATAAATCCAAAAAAGCTTCATTTATTAAATTTACATAAGAAAATTCACAAAACCATTGGATATTCAACAACAATACATTGAATAAAGATGAGTTATACACTTATATGCATCGGGTATACAAGGGCTGCCTTCACGAATGCATATCAAAGAAACCGTGTAAAAAATATAAAGAAAAACATTGCACGAAAAAAAACAACTTTGGATTCCTTTGAGACAGGAGTGACAAAAATTAAAAAGCTTGTGCAATTTCAGAAAATTAAAATTTATACTTACAATGTTTACATCAGACTGTAAAGCAATAGTCATTGAAGAAAACGACGTTGGTAGATCAACTGCAAGAAAGATGAACAGGCGTCTTATTAGATTACATGATGACCCACCAATACCATGTGAGATCACTGAATCAAGAATCAGAGCTTAATTTATTTTAATTTAATCACATATGTTAATCGATAATCAGAATTTAATCCATGTTAATTCGCAGTGTAAAATTAGTAAAGGGGCTGTTTGGATGTGCGATTAATTAAATGGATTGCTTAGTAACTTCAGCTGATTTTGATTCCTAACTGATATCAGTAACTTCATCTGATATTTAAATTTAATTATGGGGAAACCCATATGAAACAATACATATGATCAAAGCCATCTACGACCATTCCCAGTTTTTGAAACTAAAATCAATAAATTAAGAATAAGAACCTAATTAACCGTTCACGTATCTTTCTATTAAAATAAATAATCGTTCCAATCTTGCAATTGGGAGGAAAAATGGAAATATACTTTGTAGGGATAAAATAAGAGTTGTTTTGTCATAAAAAGCTAAAGGACCAGATTTGGAAGATGGAATGGTGAACAAGGACTAAATGTGATATAACACTAAAGTAGAACGGCTTGGAGCTAAATTGGATTTGCTATATAATGAAGAATTACGCAATAATATTTCTAAAAAAAAGTTGTTGTCTCCTTCAAACACAAACCCCAGAAGTTATTTTCACCAGATATTCAGATTTGTTGTCTTCTAGTTTTGTTCATTAATCAGTTTTTGATTCTTTAGCTTCTATAGGTGATATGTAGTATAGATAGTTTGAATATATATGAGAGTGAGAGTTAGGGTTTTTAGTGATTAGGTCCGATTTCGGTGAGAACTCATTTTAAAGTGAAGACTTGTGAGGAAAACTTAAAAAAATTGAAAAAAAAATACAAATCATAAAGTCGAGCATAGATCTATGTCCGGGAGAAAAAGATTTGGAAAAAAAACTTGCATCATTAAAATTGATCCATTATTCAATTTTAATTTTTTATTTTGCATCATTATGATCCATGATTTAATTTTAATGATCCAAAAAAAAAATTTCCAAATTTTTTTCTGGGTTTAAAATGATCATTTATGATCCTCACTTTAAAATGAGTCCTCACCCGATCTTATATAGGATTAGAGAGAGTCTTTTTTATTTGTAATTGTAACCAAGAATTCTTCTTTTCTTATTTCTGGGTTGATTTTATGAATTAACCCGTGAGATGAACTGATATTTAAACCCAGTTTATATAGTTCTCCATCGATAAAACACACACAACCAACAATGTCTACCAAAACCCCAATTATTGAATTTTTGTAAGCTAGGAACTGAAATAAGTTAATAAATTGCATGGTTTGGAGTTGACTCTTGCTTCGCGGATATTTGACAAGGATAATGACATAAAAAATTTTAAGTTTGATAAAAAAAAAATATGGTTTTATTCTAATATTATTATTTTTGTGAGGTAAAATTTGAATTCTACAAGTTTTTTCCTTTTTGTTTTAGCCTTTTAACCTATTATAACAAATTTTCCAGGTTACCATTAAACAAATTTTGAAGAAACCTTTTAAGTTTACAAATCTTTTACGTTTTTACCTTTATTTTTTTCTTAATATTACACATATGTATTTTCACAGAAAAAACATATTTGCATACGAAAAAATGTTTATTTA